AATGGAGGAGAAGGGATTGAGGCGTGACCATCCCCCCTGGGGGGTGATTTCTCGTTTTCTGTCTCTATGTCTCTCTCTGTCTGGTGAGCGCACACGCCCTATAGCAAAAATCTCTCCAATAAAAAAAATAAAAAAAGAGAGAGAGAGAGGTTTTTGTTTTTTTGTTTGTTTGTTTTTTTGTTTTTGCGTTATAGGGCACGTGAACACGCCAGAAAGACAGAGAGAGACAGAAAGTGAGAAATCACCCCCCCTGGGGGGATGGCCACACCACAATCCCTTCTCCTCCATTTTCCTCTTAGGATCTTGGGCATGCATGCACACACGCCTGGATGAGTTTAAGTCACTAGGTCCAGGACTCAAACAACGGTTGACTACATGGGAGTCCAGTGACATAGCCAGTACGCCAACTGCTGGTCCCGGTCCTCTCTTTCTAATCCATCCCTCCTAAGTTAACAAGATCTGTTAAATCGATGGTTTTCTACACTTTTTCCCCTACAAAGTATATAGAAATCTTATTCCCATCAGTAATATTTATTACTGGTAGTGCATCTCCAAAAATTGAGGAGAGTAACATCAGCCCACTGCCCAGATGGAAACAGAGAAGAACAGTTTGGGGTTGGGAGAGCTCTGGAGATTCCTATGGTTCTCTATTTTCCCACTCTGCTTCCTCCAACCCCCAAATCATTGTTTTAATGGTCCAGGAATCACTGGTTTCTAGTTTGATATCATGAATACCCACTAGTTGGATACTAGTTCTTGCATGAACAAGATGCTATCTCTTTCTTGGTTTCAGAAAGTTTGCCACTTACCAACATCCTTCCGAATCCTATAGAGAAGAAGATGTCCTTGTTTGGTTCCAACAAGAAGCCATTCCTCTGGAAATAATTGTGAGAAAGGTCAATCAACTTTAGTAAAATCTCATGCCTCTTCAGCTGGGGCTTATAATCAGAAATCAAAGGGTCAAAAAAATAAATTGCTTTGGATGAGGCCAAGTAGGTGGTGTGGTGATTGGGACGGCTGGATCCCACATGACCGGCCATGTAGTCTGTAGTCCCAGACCCAGCATCTTGAGAAGCACATCGAGTATGCATTCATGTGTGCCTGCCCAAATTCCTGAGAAGGGAGTAGAGGAAAGAAGACTGTGGTGTGGCCATCCCCTCAGGGAATGCCTTCTTGCTCTCCCTCTCTCTTTTTCTTTCTCTGGCTAGTGCACATGCTCTATAACAAAATTTAAATAATAAATTAATCTAAAAATTGCTTTCGATAGTGTTCTGCCAAGTTAAGGAATGTTTATCTTCAAGAAAATCTGAGAATCAACCAATCAAAGAAACTCTTGTTAACCATTAGTAAGCTAAACACATTAGAGGGAAATAAAATCTCTGGCCTCGTTTCACAATTAAACTGACCAAAAAGGTATAACAGCTTTTTGGGCCAGCCAGGTGACATGGTGGTTAAGGTGGCAAGATTCTACAAGGCCAGCTATGCTGTTTGAGTCCTAGACACAGCAGCTTGAAAAACATGCCAGGCACATATGCATGCATGCTCCCAAATCCCAAGAGAATGGAGGAGATGAGATTGCAGCATGATCATACACCCTGGGCGTGCTTTTTCACTTTCTCTTTATCTCTCTGTCTCTCTCTGGCAAACACACGCAAATAAAAAAAAAGGTAAAAAGGGCTTTTTATTTTTATTAAGACAAAAAGATTCCAAGATATACATTTTATTTTTAAGATGTACAAATGGGCTGGCTCCATGGCCAACTGCATGATTTGAATCCCAGATTCAGCAGCTGAAAAAACACTCAGTGCCTATGAATGTATTCCCCAAGTCCTGACAAGATGGAGAAATGGAGGAGAGGGCCTTGCTGCATGACCATGGCCATCGCCTCTTCTCTGGTGAGTGAACATGCTCTATGGCAGTTAAAAAAAAAGTACACACACATACACACACACATATATGTATGTATGTATATATGTATGTATGCATGTGTATACACACACACACACTCAAATATATTTTAGTTCAGTTAAAAAGCAATATCATGCAAGTTCATATAATAAGAAACTGGAGAGTATTAACATGAAAGTAGGTATCCAATCTCCAAAATAACAGCTAACAAGCATCTTCTGAAGGTTTAACAGTCTTACTATAAGGAAAGTAAATGTCATGGTGTAGTAAGTTTACAGAATTCATTATCTCAGGAGATGGTCTAGCCCGTAATAAATGTTGAAAAGAATGTACAGAACATGGAACCCTTGTATGTCACTGACAGGAATATAAAATGGTGCCACTGCTTTGGGAAACAGTGTGGCAGTTCCTCAAAAGCCAGACACAGAATTACCCTATGACTCAGCAATTCCATTCCTGATTTATATACAAGAGAATAAAAAAAAGTATGTCCACATAAAAACTTCTGTTCTGAAGTCTATGACAAACTATATGTAATAGCTAAAAGGTTGAAACACCCAAATGTTCTGATGAAGGATAAAGAAAATATGGCGGGGCCAGCAGGTGGTGTGGTGGTTAAGGATGCTGAACTCCCACATGGCCGGCCATGGTTCAAGTCCTGGATCTGGTGACTTGCTCACTTTCCCTCTCTCTCATTCACTTGCTCTGTCCCTCTCCAGTCAAATAAAAATAAATAAAGATAGGACCAACAGCTGACGTAATGGCTATGTCGCTGGACTCATATGTAGTCAACCGCAGTTCGAGTCCCAGACCCAGTGGCTTAAACTCACGCTAGGCACGTGTGCATGTGTGCCCAAGATCCCAAGAGGAGAATGGAGGAGAAGGGATTGCAGCATCGCCATCCCCCCGGGGGGTGATTTCTCGCTTTCTGTCTCTCTGTCTTTCTGGAGAGCAACGTGCCCTACAGCAAAAACCTCTCCCCAAAAATGAAATAAAGTTAAATAAAATAATTCTTAAAAAAAAAAAAAAAAAAAAGGGATCAGCAGTTAGTGTAATGGCTATGTCGCTGGGCTCCCACGTAGTGGACCAAGTCCCAGACCCGGTGGCTTAAAACTCACGCCGGGAGCGTGTGCGTGCATGCCCAAGATCCCGAGAGGAGAATGGAGGAGAAGGGATTGCGGTGTGGCCATCCCCCCTTGGGGGTGATTGCTCGCTTTCTGTCTCTCTGTCTCTCTCTTTCTGGCGAATGCACATGCCCTAACCTCTCAAAAAAATAAAAAAAGGTATATCCATACAATGGAATATTAGCCATTAAAAGGAAATACTGATATATACTACAACATGGATGAGCCTGAAAACATTATGCTTAATGAATGAAGTCAGACACAAAAGGTCACATGATTCCATTTATATGAAATTTCCAGAGCAGGCAAATCTTTAGAGACAGAATAATTAGTGGTTGCCTAGGGCTGGCAGGCTTGGGGAGAAATGGGAAGTAAATACTAATAGATACTGGGTTCCTCTCTGGGGTGATTAAAATGTTCTGAAACTTACTGTCATAGCTACGCAACTCTGAACTGAAAATCACTGCACTATGTACTCTAAATGGGTAAGTTGTACGGTATGTAGACTACATCTCAATAAAGCTCTTATTTAAAAACAAAATGGTCTAGGCCAGTGGTGTTAAATTTTAGTGCATACCAGAATTATTTAGGGCTTGTTAAAACACATATTGCAAGGCCCAGTAGCCAGAGTTTCTGTTTCTGCAGGTCTAGAAGTGGACCCAGGAATTTTAACTTCTAACAAGTGCCCAGGAGATGCTGATACTGTTGGTTCAAGAACTGCATTTTGAGAAATTGAAAATAAGACATTCAGAATGTGTTTGTATAATTACCTCAACAGATCCATATTACACCATTTAGGAAAGTTAAACAAACACATACAGATACTTCCTCAACTACTGATGTAACAGAAAGTTAACTCATTCCTCTCATGAACTCTCTTGAGTCTCTGTAAAATATTGGATAATAGTATAAATAGATAAATTTTCCTGAGCATGTACTGTGATCCAGAAATTGCTAAGCATATACCATATTTTATTTCTTTAATCCTTACAACTATCCTTTGAAGTAGATCCTCCACCACCACCCCACCTTTTTATTTGAGAGGTTTTTGCTACAGGGCACGTGCGCTCACCAGAAAGACAGAGAGATAGAAAGCGAGAAATCACCCCCCCC